ATTAGGAAATTTAACTAAACATAAGCTTGAAATAGTGATATTTCGAAATTTTTATTCTGCCCAATATTTTTAAAAGTACTCAAAAACAAACTGTTTGCTTGAAATAAATTCTGTAAAAAACTAAAAATTCTGCGCTCCTTGTGACAAATTTGAAACTATTAGTGACTCAGCTGCAACCAAAAGTAACATCACAAAAATTCAGGGACTTTTCAGTTAAACAGGGCCGACCTGCAGGCTGTGTGTATCTACAGCATGTAGAGTCACTGTTTTTAAGGTATTGCTAACAGCATGTTGTACATGTTGATCCCAGGTTTCTACATTTTTTGTAAAATAAGTCAAGAAAGCAAATCAACTATCATTTTAGCTTCTTTTACAATTTAAGCCATAACTGTGCCGTACTGCACAGAAAACAGTTCTGTCTACTTTCAGTCATGGTTGTGCAGTTTTTATAGAAGTGCAGGATTTTATATTGCAGCAAAAATAAATAAAAAATGAGTCAACGGTGAGAAAAAAATGTGACAGGAGCAAAGAAAATGTGCAGAAACTTCTTGGGATTTAGAGGAGGAATCAAACATATGAAGAGTTAATTTTCATCTCCATTTTTGTAGATTTTCAGAAAACTTATTTTGTTGTTGTTTGCTTGAGCTAATATCAATCAAACTGAAGTTGAGCTGATCTGACTCAGTAGAAATGACAAAAATAGAGATAACTTAAGTTTGATTGATATTGTCTCAGGTAGATGATGGGAAAGCGGGTTTCTGAAGGTTTGTGAAGATGGAGTTATCTGTTTTTGCAAATGAACTCTTCATATATAAAAACCTTAAAAAACAAAAGCATATCAATAAAGTTTTGTATTAGAGTTGGCATTATTCTAAATTCTAATACAAAGATTTTAACTGTTAAAACAAATGTACACTGGTTCCAAATATTGCTGATGTGTCTAATTGATTACTCACAATAAGCATCAGTATGATACTGACTGAAAAAGTCGACCGCTGCATTATGTATGTTTCCAAATCAGAACCGAAAATCCAGCCAGAAGCACGAGGACGCTCGTAATCAAAGCTTATGTTTTAATCAACATATCAAATTACCATTTGGCACCGATTTGTTCACAGCTCACGCGGCAGCCTCTTAAAAGTAAGTGTACGCTGAGGTACGCACATGACATCCACGAACATCCTAACTGCAGAATGCACCCATAATTACAAGCGCGTCCCTCCTGTAATGACAGTGTGTGTAATGGAAGATATAAACATTGGCGCTGTGATAAGCCAAGCCCTAAAATTAGCCATGACAAGGTCAAGGATGCTGTTTGTCCCAAAGCAAAGAGGAAGACATCTGCTTGCACTGCCTCGTCACTCCCAGTCAATGTCAAAAGTTCCTCCACTGTTTGGCACAGCTGTCTGCCGCGACTGAATCAGGAGCGAAGACGAGGAGAAGCCAAATGTCAGAGAATATATTCAGTTGTTTTATAAAGCCAAACATGCTCTCGAGTGAACCGATTGTTGAATGGTTCCCCTGCAGACTTGGTTAAAGACAGAAAATACTCAGGTTGGAATTAAAATTAGAGTTTTCCTACAAAACAAGCTTAATTATCTTGTTGATCTGCAGAGTTGGTGCTTGTGCACAGTGGTGTTTCCATCTAATACTAGCATCAGCATGCTACCATGAAAATGTGTACAAAATCTCACAGCAATCCAGCTGATAGTTGTTGAGTTGTCTTAAAATGAGATCTTCTCTTTCCTCCCTCATTAAAGGAGTCTATGAATGTGCACATGTTTAAACTACAGAACTACATTGTCTCCTTACAGTGTGTGAGCACCGTTGGTCTCCAGTATCCACATAAGTTCCATGACTGGCTTCACAGAATGAATCTCTCACATGTTAATCTCAGATTTAAGATGAGCAGGGGGAAACTTTGAACAGATGATTGTAAATCCAGCCTTCTAGTATCAATTTTATTCTGCACAGAGCAGGTTAAACATGAAATAAGAATAAGCGAGGCGCGTTTTTGAGAGGAGGAGGGGACTTCAAGGCAAAAATCTCTCCACTTTCAAAGCGCACAAACGCGGCTTACGCTGTAATTTCTCAGATAATTTGTATTTTTCTGGTGAAATAAGTGGCCAGGGGCTGCGCAAACACAGGTGCTGCGTATTTCCTGGCCATGTGGAAGGCACTAACCTAACACCCTGCTGAACTCCTGTGGAGGATTAGCTGTGGCACAGTTGCAGGAAGAGGAACAGAGCCGCAGTTACACGCTCACAGGCAGATCCAAACACATGCCTGCACACAAACACTGGCAGGCACGCACATCGCACACAGCAGCTGTGATGATGTGCAGACCAGAAGTGCTCAAAAACATTGACATGCATCAGGAGGCAGACATATTTTCCGGCTGATGTCCAGTTATTTTTCAAACGGTGACAGCTACGATCTGCCCGTCTCTTTGTGTTGCGTTTTAGTGGGTGTTTCTGTTCTGTATGTGCACATACATCAACGCGACCGTGTGCTTTTATTGCACTCCGTGTATGCACGCGTATCAGCGAGGGCTACACTTTCGCTTTCTCGGTGATTTCTTGTAACACCCCACCTTCGCTATTAGACCTCAGAAGTCAGCGATAGCAGCGCGAACAATCAGCCAATTCTCATCTTTGTGTGAATAAATTACCACTTGTAACACATAAGAGAAAACCTGTCAAGCATGTGAATTTAGCTGATATCACAACGGAGTCTACAGACAAAGTGAAGGCAGAGCTATTATCTCTGTAACTTCAGTGACAAATCAGCGTTGTGAATAAAATCCTCTTACACAAATAAAAGCCAACCTTTAGTGATATACGCTGGTAGGGTGACGTTGCTGGAATGCAGATTAATCTGATCAATCTGATGATGAATTATGACAACACACTGGCTGTATGAGCAGCGTTTTTGGTGCTAAATGAGGCTAAACTGTTTGAACGGAAAGGAATTTGCC